GCTGGCTTGGAAGGCTCAAACTGAGAACTAAGCTGTGAAAAATACCGTTATTACACCTTGTACCTTCCGCTCAAACGATAAGGATTCCGCGTTTTAAGAAACCTGTGACACCCCGAAAGATTCTTATTGACATCAGTAAAAAAAAGTGTCTGATGTTATGATCGATGGCAGGGGTTGTGACGTTTTCTGTGGCTGTTAGAACTAGATCGGGGAATTACTCATGCAAATCAATGTGTTGCAGAATGTATCTCGTGGTTTGTTTCGGTAGACTCAGTAATCTCTATCTGTTTCTGTCCACCAACAGCCATGATAAATACTGCGTTGAATTGGGGAGTTCTGCCGCGATTCAGTAAAGGAGACGTAGATACCATAGGGACAAAAATGAGTAGACATCACGTGTTCCATGCACCATACACCGGACATTTGTCACTCTTGAACAACGAATCCTGGGTTTCTGAACAAAACAAAATACTCCGCTTTTAGTTCAGCAGGCTCAATTTATTGGAAAGTCTGACAAACTTCTGACTTCCAAATAACTGTTGTGGGTAAGAAACGGTTGGTTCTGGAGAATCTTCGGTATACCAATTGCGACCCTAATTTAGCCGCGGATAGCAAGATTCATTGATTTAAAAACGAAGACATCGTCTAGAGAGTGACATTTTAAAAGTTATTTGCAAACTGGCAACAATAGGACACACCCGTGCAACCACTGACCCATTGCTACGTTCTGTTCGTTTATTCTGACTGTCTGCATTCCTGTTACATTCCAACCAGTTGTCTTGGAGGGAGCAGGGAGCAGGAGGTCAACCATTCTCCACAAGTCCACGAACAATTATGGAACACGTGTAGCAGTCGCACTGCGGAGAAAAACACGTTCCCGCCGTTCGGACGTTCACCAAGGGACTCTCACAGACGACAAGTTCCTCTTTTGACTTGATCCCAATTTGTATTGCATTTATTTTTATACGTGTGGCATCTCACCACTGTCAACTATACTGAAAACTTTTATTAGTGCACACACTTTCTGATTTGTGTTATGGCCATCAACAGCAGTGCACTAATAAACGTCCGGTCCTGCCGACGATGACTAGAATAATGGAGAAAGGCAGTCGCGGATCTAAACGTTTATCGTGCAGTGAATTGGTTCTTTGTGGTCCTTATCGTGGGTGCTCGAAATGGGACAGGTGACGGGGTCTGACGAACGGTACTCAGACTGACGATCCAACACTAGAAGGCTACCGTTGATTTCCCGATACGAGACATTGAGTCGCACGGAGGTTTGACAGTCCCGAATATCAAAAGAATAAATCCATTTCGAAAGTCTACGTTACTACTTACGCACAAGTAAGTAGAAACACACAAGAAACCTCACTTGTTCATGTTCTTGTTGTCTCTAGCGGTTGATTAGTACATCTGCATCCACTCTCTTCCCTCGTGCTTGCTTTGTTTTGTTCCACATCCATCCACAGTGTGCATCACAAGACAGCATCGTGAATACGACCTTGGTAAACAACATGTGACCAACAGGTTCCATGAACTAGTTAAGGGCGCCATGTGACTTCACACTACTGTTTCACGTTCCACTCGACATATATAAGGACAGAACACGGCCAACTAAAACACATAACAGGTACCAATCATCCGCTCTCAGCTGCAAAATCTTTACAAGTGGAGCGAAACTTTCTACGCCAAAATGTTGCAGTTGTGCTCAAAACAAAACCCGTTCTAATCTACGTTGATATTTTTTGCAGCTCACCAAATTTCATTGTTCACTGAATCAACCATGCCCCTGGCTGAAAAGTCTTGTGGGATAAGTTCCCAGCATCTCTGAGACCCCGGGATGCCTAAATGGGGCTTACAAGTTGGGAGTGGTACTCCCGACTCAATTACCCGATTGCTTTAGTCCATCAGGGACACGTCATAACTTTCGATCATTCAGTTCCATTGTGCGAATACTGAGCGCCCACACAACACAGTCACGACATACAACCTCGCGCGCGCGCGCAGCGAGCGGGGTTTCAACCAAACACTTGAATTCGACGGACAATTGCGGAACACATGTAGCAGCTATGCCTGCGGATGTTCCCGCAGGACATTCCCGGACTTTCACCCAGGAACTCTCACGAGTTATCCACATATGATAAGTCCAGTCAACTTTTCACTTATTCCATTGTTCGCACTGTATTTGTTCTGTCATGTTACAACTCGCCACAGTTGTGTTATTAGTGCATATTATGGCTATCATCAACTGCGCACTAATATGTCGACAAGTCTGTCCCTGATCGGCACAGTGGTGCACCAGAAACCGCACACAGCGAGCGGATTCCAAGCTTGGTGGTGAGAGCTGCAATCATCCTCTCCTAGACCAGTCTTGCGATGCTAATTAGCGGTAAAAACAGACAGGGTCAAGACAGAGCGAGTCAAGGCAGGCCCAGCAAATGGACCAAGAGAGCGGACGGCTGAGTAGGTGGAGTAACAACACCAGTTAGCATATCAGCGTTGGATGGTGAGGTGGCATGAGAGCATTGTTAGTTGTGTCATAGTTGTACGTGGGCTGGAATACTGTCAGAGCGCCCACTTCTAAACAGGAGGACGATTAGGGTCCTCAACCAAAGCCTTTGGCTCGAAAGCCTAACCGCAAGGCAGCGGTGTTTGGCGGGAAATGCAAATGCATTACCATTTCTACGGAACACGTCGCCACATGTTCCAACCCCCAACCTGGAGGGCCAGGAGACTGTGTTCGTCAGACCTCTAACCATTGACCAACCTGATGTGGCAAGGCAGCGATGTTTGGCGGAATTTAAATGCACTGCCATTTCCGGCAACGTCTGTGAAGGAGTCTCACAAGCGGGAAGCTGATCGCTGTCTGTTTGTCGTGTTCGCTTACGCCCCAACTGACTGTAGCTCCGGCACCGTCAAAGACAGATTCAACGACGCCCTGAATGCCCTGCTGCGGCGAGCTAAATGCTCAGACGTCATGGTGGTTGCCGGAGATATCAATGCGCAAGTGGACAGGCTTGGCGTGTCTGAAACTCATTTAGGATATTGGACTGGGTATGTACGGACACTGGTGAACAATTCCTTCAGCTGTGTGCTGATCGCAGGCTGTTTTTATGCAGTACTAACCTCTGAAATAACCGAACTCGTCTGGCCACTTGGTATCCTCCAACGGCAGGCCGACCACAAACTCAAGTCGACCACGTTGCAATTGGCTACCGATGGCGCGGATCAATAACTGACTCCCGGTCGTCTTGGAACACATTCGTGGATTCTGACCACGCAATTGTCCGGAGTCGCTTCTCCTTACGTTTCCATGGGCCGCGTAAGATGCGGACAAATAACTTGGCAACTGAGAGACCGGTAGATCCGTGTCTTAGACGAATTTACCCCAATCATCATCTAGAGGCTTATCCAAATGCTCCGCCATCAGATGACACTGGAGGTTGTGTGTTACCACCTCTTTGCATAGTTCTGGGAATTTTGCCTGTGGCACGGCACCACCAGGCGCACCCAAGCACTGGATATCAGACAGAACGGTGGCAGTGCTCAAATCTCGGAGAAATATCTTAGCCGGTCCGAACATATCCCAGCGCGAAGAATTACCAGAAGTCAAGTGAAAGTGGGCGTGCGAGCCGACCGTGAAGTATGGTGGACACATAAAGCCAGAGGAATGGAAGAGGTCCAGAAAGCCGGTAATGCCCAAAGACTATTTCAGTTGATCCGTGCGACCGGTCCACGGAAGCCACCTATGAGCGAAACCGTCATGCATCAGAATGCAACGACCTTCTCGAATAAAAAGAACGCCTAGACCGATGGACTGAATAATTTGAACAACAACTGTCGTGGCCACCAGCCTGCACTCATCTAGGGCCCACGGGTGAAGTAGAACTCTGGACGATGAATATGGAACCACCTACGACCTCGGAGGTATAGGACTGCATATGCTGTCTCAAGCGCCGCGGAGTTCTTGGTCCGGATGACCTCCCATCCGCACTGTTCAAAGACGGGGGTGAAGTCCTCAGTCAGTGCTCGTCCGATCTGTTTGTTTGCATTTGGGAAAAGGAGTCTGTCTCAGACAACTGAGGAGAGTCGGTGATACTGCCTATTTTCAAAAAAGGGCTCGTAGTGAGTGTGGTAACCACAGGGGAATCAGCTTGACCCCGGTTGTAACGAGACGGTTGGCATCACCTGTGCTTCGCCATCTTACGGTGACTTTTGAGACACTAACTCGAGAGCAGCAGACGGGATTCCGGCCTGCCATGGGTTGACCAAATCTTCCCACGTCGTCAGGTGCGCCATACGATTCTAGTATTCCCGAATTTTTGAGGCGCATTCAGTTGATCGGTCTGTTCTTCTTGAGACGCTTGCCCACCCGGAATGCTCCCTGAAGTTTGTAAACATCATACGTTCTTTGTATTCTCAGACCTCCGGACGTGTGACAGTGTACGGAGAGCTCTCCAAAGGCTACCGTACACAAAGCGGTGTCCGTCAGGGTTACCTAATTTCTCCATTCCTTTTTAACTTCGTGATCGATGAAATAATGAAACGAACGCTGGAGCGTCTTCAAACCACTGGTGTTCAAATAGCCTGTGACAAAAACCTTGTTGATCTGAAATATGCAGACGACATCGCTCTCATCTTCGAAGAGAAGGGCAGGTGCTTTTGGATGAACTGACCGAAGTCATACCGTCCTTTGGTATGCACTTTGCACCCACAAAGTGTAAGGCGTGCAGTCACTGAGCACGCCGCTTACAATCCAGGGAGAGGTACTGGAAGTTGTGGAGAATTTTACGTATCTTGTATTAGTTCTGATTGTAATGACATGAGGTGAATGCACGAATCTGTGAGGCTCGGGTCGCGTTTGCTAATTTGGGACACCTATGGCGTCAGAATGGTCTATCCCTGGATCTCAAGGGATGTGTGTATCAAGTTACAGTACGAGTTGTTTCAGTGTATGGCTGTGAAACTTGGCCTATTCGAGCAGCGGACCTGAGACGTCTTCAGATGTTCGACAATCGTTGTCTCAGAACTGCACCTTGTGTAGGTTGGTGTCGGCGATTCCGTAGCGAGACAGTTAGAAAGCGCGTTTTCGGTTGTGTAATGGGTACTCCCATTGAAGAATGTGCAAAGCAACAGAAGTTGTGTTGGTTTAGACATGTGTTGCGTATGCCAAGCCGTCGTTTGCCGAAGAAAGCGTTGTTTTCCACGCCCAATTCAGAGTGGCGTAAGCAGAGAGGTGACCAACCTTTAACCTGGCAGTGAGGTATGAAGAAAATCACGAAACGCTTGGGTGCTGTCGATGCTACTCGCCTTCCAGCATTGAGACCGCGTGATCCCCACTGGGAGATGGAGAAGGCTTTTGCTACGGGAAACAGCCGTGTCCTTTATCAACTGATACGATCGACTGGCCATAGGAAAGCGACGGTCAGCGAAACGATAAGTGAAAAAGATGGTTCATTAATTCACTCGCAAAAACGTCGACTGGAGAGATGGGCCGAACACTTCGAAGAGCAGTTCAGCTGGCCTCCTGCAACACAG